GCACCAAGAGCTTGTAACACTCCAAAGAGAAAGAAAAAATTGAAATCGCATCATATGACCCCTTTAAATAAATATTTTAACATGCATGAATAAATCCAACCACCCTATAGATTTAAGTTTCACTTTCCATAACCCGTGACCGACAGAGAAGCATCTTGGCGGCAAGACTCAAATTGACACGGGCAGAGTGAAAGACTGGATTTTTTTCGATCAGGTCGGGGTCAAGTTCGACTACAAATCTCACAGTCGAATATTCGCAGAGGTTTTATGATTTCACATAGAACTACCGGTTTTCTCCCAATAAGTTAATATACAGCCTAATGATAATGCTGTAAATAAGAATCTGAAAAGAAAGAAGCTTTAAAGGGGTCATATGATGCTGCTATAAAGAACTTTATTTTGTGTATTTGGTGTAATGAAATGTTTATGCGGTTTAAGGTTCAAAAAACACATTATTTTCCCGTGACCGACAGAGAAGCATCTTGGCGGCAAGACTCAAATTGACACGGGCAGAGTGAAAGACTGGATTTTTTTCGATCAGGTCGGGTTCAAGTGATTTCAAAACATTTCAGCCGGTTTATTATATCGTGTATATATTAATTATTTCGTATAAGATGCATTTGGTTGAATTACGCTGCAGTAAAGTGCTTCATTGTACGGTGGTTATCTCTTCAGCGTGTAGCACAAGCAGGACAAACAACAATGCATAGCCTTATGACTGGGACTGTCATATACACAACATTATAATGAGAACACTATTATAATAAAATGCTGTGAATTTTTAGTTTAGTTGCTGTGTTTCTGCACGTTGCGTGAAGAACGCGTCCACAAAAGGAGTTAATTCAGAGCCGCACAGACACGTTCATGCATTTTGTGCAGATGCTAGCATATAAGTCGTAATATTAACGTTATGTTTTATAAATAACGAAGCGTAATCTATATGAGATAAGACAGGTACTGCGGTCTCGTGTGGTGTGTGTCAACTCGCTGTTGGAGAGAAGGGAGAGAGTGAAAGAGACAAAGTTCGGCTGTTTGGCCCCCAGGGAATTTTTAGTTTAGTTTAGGCTGTGTATCGATACTTTGGGAAATGAGTATCGGTATCGTTTCATATATTTCAGTATCGATATTTATCGAAATATCTACATTTTTGACAACACTAGTAGCTGCGAGAGATTGCCAAAAGCAAGTCATTTGTAGCTTTAATGATCACAGTTTCTGTGCTATGATGAGGCGTAAATCCTGATGGAAATTGTACACAAATACTGTTTCTCTGCTAAATGGAACTTAGATGAGATTTCACTTTCACCTTTTATAATATTTTAGACATATATGGCAGGTCTAAGATCAGTCTATATGTAACCAGCTCTTCTGGGTCAAACTGCAAATAAAATGTATTTTTATTTGTTAATTAATGATTTAATGACTGCCTTTTTTTTTTATATATATATATTTAACTGGGGTTAATTTGTATTTGCCTTTTTTTATTTTTTTTATCTAAGGTCTGATTTCACTAAAAGAGGAAGGTCCAGAACTCAATGGAATGGAAGAGAAAGATGAGAAACATCATGATTTCACAACTGAAGAAAAATATTTTAGTTGCTCACAGAATGAAAAGACTTCCACACAAAAAACAGCTGAAAAGACAGGAGCTCGAAGTTATTTCTCCTGCCAAGAGTGTGGAAAGAGTTTCAGTCAACATAGAAACCTTGAAGTCCACATGAGACTTCACACTGGAGAGAAACCTTTCAGCTGCCAACAGTGTGGAAAAAAATTTACTCAAAAAGGAAGCCTCAAAGTCCACATGAGAATTCACACTGGAGAGAAGCCTTACACATGCCAGCAGTGTGGAAAGAGTTTTACACATAGAGGAACCCTTAATGCTCATATGAGAACTCATCCTGGAAAAAACCCTTTCAATTGCACAGTCTGTGGAAAGAGCTTTTCACGAAAAGAGAGTCTTAAGACTCACATGAGAATTCACACTGGAGAGAGGCCGTTTGTATGTGGTCAGTGTGGAAAGAGTTTCAGATGTAAAATAAGCCTTAATTACCACATGAGGATTCACTCAAGAGAGAACAATTTTAAATGTTATCAGTGTGGAATGAGTTTTACAGACGGGAATCACCTTAAGAATCATGTAATAACTCACATCGGAGAGAAGCCTTACATGTGCCATCACTGTGGAAAGAATTGCTCAAACAAAACAAGCCTTGAGGTTCACACAAGGGTTCATACTGGAGAGAGGCCTTTCACCTGCCCTCAGTGTGGGAAGAGTTTCACAGTTAAAGGAAACCTTCAGACTCACATAAGGGTTCACACTGGAGAGAAACCTTTCACGTGTCATCAGTGTGAAAAGAGATTCACATATCAAAAGGACCTGAAACGTCATATGCAATCTCATTCTGGGAAGAAACTGCAGAGTTCTGAGTGTGAAAAGAGGTTAAAAAAATTGAGCAATTTTAAAAATGATCTGCACATTCACTCTGGAGGAAGGCAATTTAAATGCGCTCTGTGTAATAAGAACTTTCTTTTGCCATCACACTTAAAGATACACATGAAAAGTCATGCATTTGTGAGACCCTATTTTTGTTCTTTGTGTGGAAAGGGTTTTAAATGGCTCGGCAGTTTGAAATGGCACCAGAAGATATGCATCTGTGCAAAATTAATTTTGATTGTATAGAGGCATTGTTTACAATTTTGATTCACTTAAATACCTCAGAAGCAAAATACTAGATGAACTCCCATTTTGCTACAAAATGCCACAATGTAAATTTTAAAATTTTGAATAAAAGGCGAGACACTTGAAAATTTGTTGTCCAGGAATTAGAATTACTCCTAGTAGTAAGGGACTAGATTATGAAACTCTTATTAGGCTGAAAAGTGACTGTGCTTTTTTTATATTATTAAATACTTTCAGAAACTATTTGACAATGTTAAAGGGTTAGTTCACCCCAAAATGAAAATTCTGTCATTAATTACTCATCCTCATGTCGTTCCAAACCCGTAAGACCTTCGTTCATCTTCGGAACACAAATTAAGATATTTTTTATGAAATCTGAGAGCTCTCAGACCCTGCATAAACAGCAACACAACTGTAATGTTCCCAGGTCCAGAAACGTAGTAAGGACATTGCTAAAACAGTCCATGTGACATCAGTGGCTCAACTTCAGTTTTGCGAAGCTACGAGAATACTTTTTGAGCACAAATAAAACAAAAATAACAATTTATTAACAATTCTTCTCCCCCGAGTTACGTCTTCCGCCATTCTGGAGAGTACCCAAGAGCGTAATCGACGTAATCAGCGCTGTTTACGTTAGGGGGGAAAGTGTGCGCATGAACGTAATCGGCGTTGTTTTTACGCTTAGGGGAAAGCGTGTGCATGCATTGTGATGCTCTCTAAAATGGCGGAAGACGTAACTCGGGGGCTAAGAATTGTTGAGAAAATTTTTTTGTTCTTTTTTCTTTGTGCTCAAAAGTATTCTCGTAGCTTCTCGTAGTAATTGGAAATCAAATGATTCGAATAATATGCACACAAAACCACACATTAGTGGTATCAAGGTGCGGTAAGTGTTGCATTTAGGAATTGTCTATCCTCTTGAGCTATCTAGCAGCTCTATCCTCTTCAATACAAACAATTTAATATTTCTGTGACCCAAACAAGTGTGTGAGAAGACAGAGAGCATTTTTTACTGGTAGCATCGTCCTACATTTGTTTCTCAGATCTCTCCATGAAGGAGCTTCCTTAGGAGATCCTGATCAGAGAATGTCTGCCTTCCCAGAATGAACACTGGAATGCCCCATAAATATGAAACGTTTAACTGGGTTGGGTTAACACATTCCTTGGGGCCCCAGTTATATGCCAGTTATGGTAAACCACTACTGTAAAGACTAAAGGCAAGTCAACTTCGCCTCTATATGCTCAGCTTCGCTTCCATATGCAAGACTCATCATCGTCCTGGATTAGGTCAATGACTGCGAAATGATGTCGTCTGCAAACTTCAGGAGCTTGAAAGAGGGGCCTTTTTCAGTGCAATCATTTGTGTAGAGGGAGAAGAGTAGTGGAGAGAGAACACATCCCTGGGGGGCACCAGTGCTGATAGGACAGGTGTTGGAAATGAATTTTCCTAGCCTCACTAGCTGCTGTCTGTTTGTCAGCAAGATGATGATCCACTAACGGATTGAGGTGGGTACAGAAAGCTGAGTTAGTTTGGTCAGGAGGATATCTAAGGTAATGGTGTTGAAGGCCAGGTCCACAAACAGGATCCCTGGTTTGTCCAGATGTTGCAGGATGTAGTGCAGTCCCATGTTGACTGCATCATCCATGCACCTGTTTGCCTGATAAGCAAACTGAAGAGAGTCTAGTAAGGGTTCATTGATGTCCTGGGCCAACACCTGCTTTTTAGATGACTTCATGACCACAGATGTTAAGGCAACTAGTCTTTAGTCATTTAGTCCTGTGATCTTTGGTTTCTTGGGTACAGGGATGATGGTAGAACATTTGAACCAGGCAGCTCCAGTGATCTGTTGAAGATTACTGTGAAGATGGATGACAGCTAGTCAGCACTGGCTTTTAGACAGGCTGGAGAGACACCGTCTGGGCCTTTGGCTTTCCTTATCTTCTGTTTTATGAAGACTCTGCATACATCGTCCTCAGATCTTAAGTGCAGGTTGAAAAGTAGTATGGGGGAGGGAGTAGGGAGTGTTAAATGGGTCATCAGATGCAAAATTCACTTTTACATGTTTGAACTGAAATGTGTCTTGGTAGTGTGTGTACACAACCACCCTATAATGATAAAAATCCACCCAGTGTTTTTTTTTTTTTTTAAATTCCCATAAATCATAACCCCTTTCTCAAATCAAGCCATTCACAGATTCTTGGCAGAGTGACATAGTTCTGCACAGGCCCCTCCCACAATTGTTGATTGACACTGGAGTTTTATCACAGACCCGCCCTGAGTGAGCTGTAAATAGTCTGCCATTGTTTCGACGCTGGAGCAGGAGTAGACAAGAATGACTCCTCAGCGATTGAGGTGTTCTGTTGTTGGATGTAATAATGAACAAAGCCGTCATCATTTACTCCCGACATCTGAGCCGCTAAAGACGCAGTGGATTAATTTTGTTTTTGAAGGGAATGCACCCTCGATCTACCTAAATGAGTCTATGTTCGTGCGAATCATTCATGATCCAGCTTCACCTACAGAAGAAGTATGTTTTTTTTTTTTCTTTGCAAATCTCCCTTTACTAATAATGTGCTAGTTAGCAAGTTCCGCGACGAATGCAGCTAGAGAACTGCTGCTCATCACCCATGGAAGAAAAAGGCAGGGTGAGCAGAGCTCATTAGCATTTAAAGTGACATGCACCAAAACGGGTCATTGTGAACAGAGCTGTTTTTGACGAGGTAAAAAGGGTGTTGTTTTACACTACCATTGAGAAATTTTAACCAAAGTATGTTATAGACTTTTCATTAAGACCATAAAGAATCCTATCAGCTTGTGGAATATGGCTATCCGATGACCCCTTTAATGGCTGCGTGGAAAGACAGTCGAGGGTGCATTTCCCAAAACCATCGTTAGCTAATTATGGTCATTAGTTCCATGGAACTCTATTGGTAATGACGAAACTTGCGACCATAGTTGCTTTTGGGAAGTGCACCCCAGACAGTGTTGCCAGATTGGATGAACGATTTTCAGCCCAAAAGCTCACAAAAGCCCGCACACTCAAGAAAAAAAAACAAAAAAAACACCCAAACCTTTGACAAAATAATGTGATGGAATGTCAATCAAGGTTGATAATGGACATTTTAACTCCTTAAAACAAAATAATGACTACAAAAATAATATAAATATAACGTTAGATAAATTTCCCAGGTAAACGGATCAATCGAGGGAAATAGCCTACATTAAAGAGAATTACCATATATGATTAAAATATGCAAGCACTGTCAAAACGGCAATCAAGAAATTAACCGATACCCTCGAAACAATCAATCGAGGGAAATAGCCTACATTAAAGAGAATTACCATATATGATTAAAATATGCAAGCACTGTCAAAACGGCAATCAAGAAATTAACCGATACCCTCGAAACAACACGTGCATCATTTTCAGAATAAGCCAATAAATGCAAAAAGTGCCCACTATAAATGATAGGGAAAAGCAACATAATTAGCAGGCATTTCACACTTGTTCATGCACACACCATTCATTGATACATACTGTATAATAATCTGACAATTTAAAAAAAATTAACAACAAAAATAATGCGCTTACCTTCGTGACACTATAATTTTACACAGAACTAGAAGAAGTCTTTTGGGAAGTTCATATTGTAGAACATAATACAGAACTTTGCATAGTCAAAACTAATCAAGTCTAGCAGTTTACAAGGATTTACCAATCTGGAACGTTTAAAAGATAGACAGGATCATGTAGACCCAAATTCAAAACTGCCCAATCTGGCAACACTGACCCCAGAGCAAGTGTGGGGTGTGAGAGCGGGTTTCTCAAACCTGCAATAAAATCATTCAGTAATTTTGATTTCCAGTTTTTGATTTGTCTCAGTGCAGGGGGATGGTGTCTTATGGCTGGTGATGGCTTTCAGGCCTTTCCACACGGATGCAGGGTTGGCTGAAAACTGTAGCTTCTCTGGTCACTCTGATATCCTTTGTCGGCGTGTTTCAGGCCTGTTTGTACAAGGCTTTGTCCCCAATCCTGTATGCATCCTTTTTGGCTTGGCAAAGCTGTTAGTTTTGTGGTAAACCATGGTTCATCATTGATATATAATAAATAAGTCTTAGTGGGAACACACGTCTTCACAGAAACTGATGTAGGATGTCACCGTGTGCGCGAGCTCATGCAGATTAGTGGCAGCAGCTTTGAAAACACAGATTTGACAAATTTGAAACAGGCTTGTAGTGCCCACTTTGTTTTGTTAGCCCATTGGTGGGCGATATGTTGTTGAGGTGATGTTATCCGGTATGTATTGTTCATTGTAACTTGTGTGTGTCTCCACCCTGTTCTACAGACATATAATTACCTGGACCAAAATGCCCTAGGCCTTGCATATTGTTAACACTCTCAAAACCGTGGCTCCCTTCATGGACCTGACTAATTATTAACTATCCTGTTGATTTTCAAGCTGCTTCAAATACTGGTTAAACTATTTATTTCTCATAAACAATTTTGTGAATATTTTTCATTTAGGGTGCATGCAAAGTTTCAGCACACAGATGTGTTTTAGAAAGACTTAAAAAAAAAATGTCTGGGATCAGATGGGGTTTTATGCAATTTTCTGAAAATCAAATCAAGTAAAAAAAAAAATCTAATAAATTTTAAAAAGAAAACATTTGTTGTAACTAATCAGACACTAAAATTATGAAATTTAAGAATCAGTGTTCGCTCAAAATTGAACACTCATCTTTTGAATCATCCAAGGAAATGGAGTGACAGCTCCATGCAATCAGAATTAGATGGTGTCGTACTGCAACCATTCAATATTAGAAACTATAGCAAAGGAGATGGTCAGCTGTGGCCACAGGAATTCATGTGTAAATGACAAAAGTAAAGAAAAAGACTTGAGGCAAAGTATAATGTGATAGAGGATACACATAATGTGGACAATCAGATTTGGCCCATATTCAGCTGCACTGTAAACATTACCCTTAATTTTTTCTCCACCACTGACAGAATTTTCCGGCTATCTTGTCTTTAAAAAAAAAAATAAACGATAGGGGGCACTATTACACAACTACTGAATAAGTACAGACTCTTCATATCAAAACACAAAGAAGCAGAAGCAAGCAATAGCATACATAAGCAGATGCATATGTAAAATAATGCAATCATCAACATTGAACAGCATATAGATCAAAACGGCCTAACATTACCAAATGAAATGACAACCCAGGAAGTAGTAGCCTATAGGACTGTCCTAGTCTCAGCCTCAGACGTCATGCCCACGGACCGTTGGCTGAATGTTTGAAGCATATCACACATAAAACTGAAAACTCTTCAGGAGTTTCGAAGTTATTATCGGATTGGTTGAATTATACAGGATTTTCAGGAAACGAGTGTTCCGCCTGGAAACAAAGATGCCATGATGCCAAACCCCCTCATGGAAGAAGAAAGCTGTTGTGTTTACAACTGTGACTATGAGCACTTATCAGGATGAACTAAATGCTGGATTTTCAAAAGTATGTGAAATATTTAAAGTTCGTAGCACAGAATCTTATGTCAGTCTGTTATTGTGGGGACATTTCCACACACCTAAACATGACGCGGCCCGAAACGAATCGTGATTGCTTGCTTTACCTGTCAGTCATATGGCCTCTTTGGCTTGCCTCAGCCATTCAAAGCGGCCAAGGTTCTGCTGTCAGTCTGAAGGTCTGGCTACATAAGACTAGGACTGTGCAAGCTTTAAGGGTATTGATTAGGGATGCACAATAATATCGGACTGATATCGGAATCAGCCGATAATGGATTTAAATGTAAATATCGGCATTGGCCCGATATGAAAAATTATGCCGATATGTCTTGCTGATGAGAGGAATGCGTTAACTCGCATATGCTCAGGGTGTGCTAGAGATTAGTTCACGTCAGCGGTGTGGCTCATTCTTGAAGAAAAGTTTTGTCTGAATGATGATTAGATTGACTGTTTTGGATCGCTGCATTTAATCTGTGAAAGCACGTACAGAATGACGCGTTCGGTGTAGAGTAGAGTAAACGGTAATAGCACGTGCAGCAGCAGCCTCCCCAGGGTCCTAACGCCCGTTTGGTAAGGAGTTTTAATCTGTAGGGGGCGCTGTTGGCCTAATTCTAATTAAATTAAAAGTAAAATAGCCTACCAAAATAAAATTTAAACTGTGTTTCTGAATAAATAAAGCAGTAATTGATGTCATAAAATAATGAGCATGTTTTGATTTAAAGGTCAGAGGCTATAGCTTACATGGAAAAAAAAAAATCAAACATGACACTAATGTGAAATGTTTTATTTTTTAAACAAATCATAAGCTCTAAAATATTTTAGGAATTTTTACAGCTCTTTTGATTTAGACCATCTACAAATGTTAAATCTTAAAATAAAATGTTAGGGTTAACTGCAAAAAATGCAGCGATTGATATATAGTTTATTTAGGCTATAGTTATTTTCAAAGCTTCAATGTACCGTCAAAAAACCTTGATGGTTGTTTATTTAATTCTAACAAGTTCTTGTTAAAAACTAACCAAAATTAAAAATATTTTGCTTATAATTTCTGCACAGGAGAGACTTGGTGTTGTTTCCAAACAAAAGGAAATGTATCGGTATCGGTCAAAATGAGTTGAAAAATATCGGCTTTTCGAATATCGGCAAAATTCCAGTATCGTGCATCCCTAATATTGATGGAAGCAATCTAATCCATCAATATCATCATTCTGTATAGGATCCATACATACTCTTTGACTAAGATGCGATTATCTCTTATTTATTGTTCAAAATGTTACCTTTCATGTGTTGGATTAAAAAAAAAAAAAAAAAAGCATGAAGCTAGAATAAAATGTTTGTTTATTTGTTTAAAAGCAGAGGCTCTGTTCTTTTGACATACTGAATATTCAGATATTCATACAACAAAGTATTTTGGGGGCCGTGATAATTTTGTGAAAATTGTCTAAATTGCTGGCAGTTGACTGGCAACTTTTTTTAAACATTGATGGGAAAGAAATAATTTTACATAGATACATATTTTCTGGTGAAATTTTAAACTGCAGAGCCAGTTAAAACCTCTTTCTACACACACATACAAGCACAAAATAGGGTCTCGCATCTGCATGACTTTTTAATTTTGTGTGAATTTTTTATTTTTTTTTACAACACTGAGGAACACTGCAATGTCTTGCCAGAATGAGTTTGCAAATGTTGCTTAAGGTCTCTTTGATATGTAAAACTCTTTTCACATTGAAGACATGAGAAAGGCTTCTCTCCAGTGTGAAGCCTTATGTGAGTCTGAAGGTTTCCTTTTTGTGAGAACTTCTTCCCACAATATTTGCAGGTGTAAGGGGTCTCTCCAGTGTGAGTTCTCATGTGGGAATCAAGGGATGGTTTATATGTAAAACTCCTTCCACACTGAGGGCATGAATAAGGCTTTTCTCCAGTGTGGATTCTCATGTGATTTTTGAGGCTTAATTTATGACAGAAATTTTTCTCACATTGATGACATGTAAAACAGTCCTATCTTGAGTGAATTTTCATGTGGTAAAAACAGTCCTCTCTTGAGTGAATTTTCATGTGGTAATTAAGGGTAACCTTGCGTGTGAAACTCTTTCCACACTGATCACATGTGAACAGCTTCTCTCCAGTGTGACTTATCGTGTGAGAATTAAGATTGTTTTTGTGTGTAAAATTCTGTCCACACAGTTTGCACGTGTAAGGCTTTTCTCCAGTGTGAATTCTCATGTGGACTTTAAGGTTTATTTTTTGAGTGAAACTGCTTCCACACTCTTGGCAGGTGAAAGAGCTCTCTCCAGTGTGAATTCTTGTATGGACTTTAAGGTTTTGTTTTTGAGTGAAACTTTTTCCACACTGTTGACAGCTGAAAGGTTTCTCTCCAGTGTGAACTCTCATGTGGACTTCAAGACTATGTTTTTGATTGAAACTCTTTCCACACTGACGGCAAGTGTAGTTAGATTTAGATTTGGTCTTCCGAGCTCTTTTTCGTGAGGTCTTTTTAGCCTGCGTGGATTTTTCTCCAGTCAGGAAATCATGATTTTTCTTATCTTTTTCTTCCATTTCACTCAGTTCTTGACTCTCCTCTTTCAGCAACATCAGGTCTAAAGCAAAAAAGACAAATACAAGTTAATCCCAGTTTATAGGTACAAAGCAACAGACATCAAAACCATTAAAGCAATGCAATCATGTTTGCTAGATTCTATACTCGCTAAGCTACTGAAAGAGGTTACCCAAGATCTCAGAACTTCTTAAAATGAACTCTTCCCACTTTTAGAACATGTCCAGAAAAAAACATCCCAATAGAAAGTCCAAGAGATCGTTTACAATCTATCTCAGAGACTTGAGACAATTTCTCCTGACGCCCCCAAGTTTATTATGGGTGATTTTAGTAATGCTAAGAAGAGTTTGTGCACATATTATCAATATGGTGACTGTCCAACAAGGAGGAAAAAGACTCTGGATATGTGCTACGGAACTGTTAAAAACGCTTATATTTCGTCAGTTCTCCCGCCATTGGGAGCGTCTGATCACAGTGTGGTCTATCTTCGTCCTGTCTACCAGAGGCTACTCGAAAGGGAGAAGCCTCAGGAAAAGTCTGTTAAAGGGGTCATATGATGCGATTTCAAGTTTTCCTTTCTCTTTGGAGTGTTACAAGCTGATTGTGCATAGATAAGATCCCTGAAGCTGTAAAGACTAAAGTCTCAAAACAACACATTTTGTTTTTCGGAAGGCGGACCTTTATCAAAGCAGGAACTATTCGAGCCGTTTGTGGCAGCCTGGGGAGAAAGGTATTTTAATAATGTAAATTATGTGAAAAATAATGTGTTTTTCGAACCACCAAGCATGAGAGCATGTTCTAGTACACCCCCAAAACAAAATCAAGACTTTGTAAAAGAGCATAATAGGACCCCTTTAAAGTATGGGACAATGACAGTATAACGGCTCTGCAGGGGTGTTTTTAGTATAGTTGATATTAATGAACAGGTTGAAACAGTTACTGATTATATAAATTTCTGTACGGATTCTGTCATTCCCACTAAGACTTTTAAGGTATACCCTAATGACAAACCCTGGGTGTCTAAACACTTAAAGACCCTTATAAACAAGAAAAGAAAGGCATATAGAAATCAGGATGAGGTGGCTCTGTGGGACACACAGAGGCAGATTAAAAGACAAATACAAATAGATAAACACTCATACAAACAAAAAATAGAGGCATCTTTTATACAAGGTAACTCTCGATACGCTTGGCAAGGGATTAAGAATATGACAAATATACCCCATAAGGGAAGATGCAAACCATCTCCGGTGCTGCATGGATGTGAGGAGCTGGAGATGGCAAATCAGCTTAACTCATATTATTATTATTGCTTGGCCCTAATCCTCTTTCATAAATAACAGACCATGCAAAATACCCAAAAATATTGCAAAGTAACATTGCAACCTTGCAAATAGGGTGGGGCCATTTGGCAAAAAATTAAAATCTCGATTTTTTTCAGAACGTTTGACTGATTCTCGTTTTTTTTTACGATTTTTAACTAGTCAACTTGAAAATGTAACTACAACATGATTCAAGTAACTTTTTCTTTATTCAAGTAACTTTTTCAGACATGAAGTTGTCAACATTATGTAAATGTTAAACAAATCACTTGTTAAATATCTTTGCAGAAAAGATGCATGAACTACAACAACATGTTGTACAAACTTGTACTGTTGTACATACTTATATTATGTGTTCAGACATAATATGAGGAAAATGCTTTAAAAAATCTCAAAAGTCAAGGTAATTCAAATTCAAAATGACTGAAGGTATAACACAAGTAGACTTATTAACATTAATTATAAACGTTAACGTTAATTAATGTTCTGTAAAAACAACAGCAGCTATCAGCCTGTCACCATGATGCAAACGTGAAATATTAGACATACAGTGGTAGTTACAGGTTTTTTATTCGCTTGCGTTGCTTTTCTATTGTTTTTTTTTCATGCATGAAACGGCATTCTAAAAACGCAGCGCTCAAGTTAAAAGTAGTTCACGCCCATCTTGCATGTTTTTTCTATTCCACTGCCCACGTCACATCTAGTCAACACAAAAGCGCATTCTGTGTGAATGGCGCCTAGCGATATACAGTATTCTACTTGCGGTCCTTCACTGAGCGCATCACATGTGAGAGGTTAATCACGTGTGCCGACATGCGGTTGGATCGTTCTTCTCTCTTTACTGTTATCATTGGCATATTGTCAAAGTGTCTTAATTGTAACGTTTGGTAATATTTCTATTAAAAATCACGATGCCTTGATTTCTAAAAAATAAATTGTGGCAAAACACTAAATTCGAATTAATCGATAAAATCTGAAAAATCGCCCAGCCCTACTTGCAAACAATAATAAAATCAGAGGACTTTAACTGTAAGCGACACGAGCATACGCAAAACAAAGGGAACAATATGATGTTTGTTATTATTAAAATTGTATATATCCCAAATAAACTAGGGCTGCACGATAAATCGCATGCGATATTTAACGCGCATCTTGTCAGAAAGCCGGTTCTGTAATCAGCAGTAAATCTCCTTCACCTGCGGGCTTTCACATTGAGCAGCATTAACTACACAGAGCCGTTGTTCACTGACGAGCTGTGCAAAACCACGTTCAATGCAACATCAGTGAACAACGGCTCTGTGTAGTTAATGCTGCTCAATGTGAAAGCACGCAAATAAACTAAAATAAACATTTTTTTATTTTTATTTACTGCTTAGGAAATAACGTTGACAATAACGTATATCTTCAACATGCGTTGTCTATGACCAGAAATGTAAGAAGATATGTTTTCAGTGGACTTTTAAAATTTGCTTTGCTTGAGAAAACAAAAATATACAGTTAGTGTTTTTTTTTCTTTTGATTTAGTCGAGTTGATTTTGCATCAAATACAATGTGATTTTCGGCAATCGAGATCTGACAGGATCAGCACATTTTTCCGCTTGGGCGAGCGCTTCGCGGACAGCTAACCTCGCGCATGAAATCAGCCGCAGACCAGCAAAACACTGAGAACGCGCTGCAATCCTGACGAGTCATAGCAATAGAGCGGAGGCGAGAAAGCTGCGGAGAATCCACTCGCACGGAAGCAACTGCAACTGGTAGATTTAAAGAATATTACTGCCGTTTGGCAAATAAATCATTGTACGTACTTATTCCTAAGACTGAACGCCACTGCTATATATCATTGTTTGCGGTGCATCACAATAATCGTGTCATCTTCAGTGCTCACTGTGAGCACTGCAGATAGCAATGTGCTGTAACGTCTGCTTGCTCGTGTCCATCTGTTTTTAACTCGCATGCACTTTTTGCACGATGCAATTTATAAAATAAAAAAAAGTTTTTGTAGACTTTTCCAGTCTTGAGTGGATCAGTGTGCAGTTAGCCACTCTCTGTTCATTTTCAAGTATCCCATTGGCTCTACGCACCTGCAGTAAAAGGACTTCTATTTTCCGGTTAGGAGCGCTACAATTTTCTCAAGCTTTAGAAGTATTGCTCTGAAACAGTATTGACAATCAGTTAAATCAGTTAAATTCACTCTACCAGTCAAACACCTGAGGTTGAATGGCAGGGTTTTATGTTTTGCCACTTTTGCAGACTGAAACATATTTCCTCCTCCTTTAAAAGGCTGTATTTCACTGGCTGAGGTACAATGCGGCATGCATCTCTCACTCTTTGCCTGCGGGCTCTGAATATCAGGCTGTAGCCATGACCATTGACAGCTCTTGGGAACGAGCATTTTTTATTACTGACCTTTAAGCGAATTTACTTATATATTTATACCGTATATGTTGTATTCGTCAATCCACCAAGGGAGTTGGGGGAGTGGTTAGTGTGCTCGACTGGCATGTCAGAGCCTGTCACCTTAGGTTCAAATCCTGGGTGAAGCATGTATATAATTATAATAAGCATTTAAAAGTTGTGTTTTTATTGTTCTGTTGTAACATTTCTCTGACAACTGAATGAACTCTTAGTGAATAAATGTTATTTTGGTCATGAAAAATGAACATTAATAAAAAGACATCAAGCCACATCATCTGACATTTACATATAAAGATTATTATTTAAAAATATGAATTGTTCTGCTGCGTTAAAGGTAGGGTATGTAATTTTTCAAAAACACTTTAGAAAACTGATTCGGGCCGAATAGCAAAACAAACTTGTAGCCAATCAGCAATAAGGGGCGTGTCTACTCGTGATGTGGAGGAGCTTTCAGTGCACAGGACGGACATTAGCCGAGTGACGCCCACAGAACCTTCTAGATTTGAAGACTCTGTGGAGGAATGGGCCAAAATCACACCTGAGCAATGCATACTAGTTTCTCCATACAGGAGGCGTCTTGAAGCTGTCATTACCAACAAAGGCTTTTGTACAAAGTAATAAATACATTTCAGTAAGTGTGTTCAATACTTTTTCCCTGGGTCATTCCATTTTATTACACAGAACTTAATTTCTGAACTTATTTGTATTGTTTTCTTTGTATGTATGGATTACTTGGATTGGCCAAAATCACACCTGAGCAATGCATACTAGTTTCTCCATACAGGAGGCGTCTTGAAGCTGTCATTACCAACAAAGGCTTTTGTACAAAGTATTAAATACATTTCAGTAATTCAATACTTTTGCCGTGTCATTCCATTATATTACACATAACTTCTGAACTTATTTGTATTGTTTTCTTTGTATGTATGGATTACTTGGGTTGTTACCGACATCTGGCGAAAATTCCATGTCAACAGCACCTTTAGAAATATATTTACTGGGGAAAATGGTGACGTGTTCAATACTTATTTTACCCGCTGTATATGTTAACATCTCAAAAAATGTGTTTTAGGGTTTCATGACACTTTAAAGGCAGCATTAGTGTTTGTCTGGTCGTGATCTCAACATGTCAAAATTTTAATAAGGATCAAAGCTCAC